TGGCAGCTTCACGTTAATGGCTGCCCGCAGGTTGGCCCAGAAAAGGGGCTGCTTGCTCCTCTCCTTGGGCCACTCCAGGTAGGTTCGCTTGGCCATCAGAGCCTTCAGCTTGTGGTACCTGGCGGGGATCACGTACGGAGGGATGGGCTCCAGCAAAATGAGGATTAAGCTGTTGGAAGTCTCGCTGAAGAGCTTGTGGTGGGCAAAGTACAGCTCGTAGTGACACCACTCGCTCTGCACAAAGTTGGGAGACAGCACAAAGATGGACCTGTAGCTCTTCTCGATGCAGGTGATGATGTTCTCCACGATGCTCTTGCCGGGGATGAAGTTCCTCTCGTGCTGGCACAGCTGGACGCGGCCCTCCCCCCTCTCCAGGTTGGGCATCAGCTCCTCCTTCACCCACGCCGCGTCCCGCTCGCTGTAGGACACGAAGGCGTGGAACTGCAGAGCCCCCTCCTGCTCCTGGGGCTGCTGGTGCCGAGCTCTCCGCTTCGTCTGCGTCCACTGCCACGTCATCCGCGCGTACCACGGCACGTCCAGGTAGACGCACAGAAAGGCCACCACGGCCACCAGCGCCAGCGTCACCACCAGAGCCGTCACCAGCAGGAGCGTGGTGTTGCAGGCCAGCTCGGCCAGGTGGAAGTCCTCCAGGAGCCTTCCTCGCAGCTCCTCCGGGTACTCGCACACGTAGGCCCCCGGCCAGCCAAACAGCTTCCCCCCAGAGCGCCTCTCCAGCCGCACAAAGGCCTGCAGCTCACAGGAGCACTTGAAGGGGTTGTGCCCGCCCTGCAGCTCCCTCACCCGCGGGCAGCTCTGGAAGAAGTCCACCAACGGGGTGAGGATCACGTTCATCTCCACGTTCAGGAAGGCCAGCGACGGGAAGCCCCCGCAGCCCGGCAGGTCAGCCAGGCGGTTGGACGCCAGGTTCAGCTCTCTCAAGGACTTCAGCTCCGCCATCCCCCTGGGGACACTGCTGATCTGGTTGTTCTGCAGCTCCAGCTTCTGCACGTTGACTGGCAAGCACTCAAACACGGCATCCGTCAGCTGGTTGGAGGACAGGTCCAGCTCCGAGAGGGACTCGGCCCAGCGGCACCGCTCAGCAGGCCCCTCGTAGCTCAGCAAGTTGCTGCTCA